CATGCCCGTTGAGCCCATTCTGACTCATGGCGCCTCGTGTATCGTAGTAGAACTGTGCGCCAAAGGATTTTCAACGGAGGTTAAGTAGGAACTGGCTGTTAGTGACAGAGACATTACCCAGCATTCCCGTTGAGCCCATTCTGACTCATGGCGCCTCGTGTGTATCACAGTAGAACTGTGCGCCAAAGGATTTTCAGTGGCTGATATTTTGCCAGGTCTTTCTTCTGAGGCACCTCTTGATGAACTCAAACTTCCAGCCTTTCGGTTAGCAGCCAAGCATGTTGCACCTCTGAGGCACTCCAGCTAACATTATCTGTGTCTGTATTGTGTGCCAGAGTCAGTTCTGACTCATAGCAACCCTAAAGGACAGAGTAGGACTGCCCCATCGGGTTTCCAAGGCTGTAATCTTTATGGAAGCAGACTGCCACATCTTTCCTCCCATGGAGCAGCTGGTGGGTTCATACTGCTGACCTTTCAGGTAGCAGCTGAGCACTTAACCATTGTGCCACCAGAGTTCCTTAGCTAACATTGTATAAGGATATAAGTGAACTATATCACAAAAGTTGTGGAGTAAGCTTTCGAATATATGCTCAGTTTAATCAAAAGTTCTTTATAAATGTACTGAAGAGAATTGCAAAAATTATAAAGATCTGGGAGAAGGGTAGGAAAGAACCAAATGGATTAAAAAGTTGCTAAAACTAGAGTTAATCATATATGGAGAGAAACTGAGATACTGATAAAAAATGAATTTCTTAGCCCAGAGAGCTTTTTTAAAAATAGGGTCAATAATAAACTGTCTTGAGTATGTATGGAGAATCTGTAATGTCTGAGATTAAGTCCCATGAGATGACCCTGAGGTCTTTTCAGTTGCTGTGCTTTTCACTAAAGAGCCTTTTTTTCTGTGATCATAAAGGTTACTTTTATGAAAAAAGAATAATCTGTCAGTAACTTGCATGAGACCTTGTCATTTTGGGTCAAAGACTACATTTTTTCTCCTTTACCTAAATGATCACATTTTTACTAGATTTCTTGTTTATTTTGTCATTTTAAACATAATAATTAGTTAGAATTTAACCTCAAGTCCTATTCCCTACAGGTAATGTCTCGTTGGGAAGAGTATATCAGCAAAGTGAAGAATAAAGGTAATCCTTTGCCAGATGTCGCGGAAATCGCCACTTTCTTCCCTTTTCATGAGTACTTCGCGAATGCCCCTCAGCCCATTTTTAAAGGCAGATCCTATGAAGAAGACATGGAAATTGCTGAGGGATGTTTCAGGCATATTAAGAAAATTTTTACTCAGCTTGAGGTAAGGCATCTCAAGTCTTTTAACTTTCTTTTAAAGGTTTTCAGTTTGGTTTTGTTTTTTTGTGTTGTTTTTTTTTTTTTTTTTTAAGTAAATGTAGAATGTTCAGATCTCACAGAATGAATTGTTACTTATATGTGAGATTATTGAAAATATAGTTTAAGAGACAAAGTAAAAATTAAGATGGGAATTGGATCTTTATTATTCAGACGTTTCTGTTGTAAACATCTCCAGTATTTAAGAAAAGACTGTTTCTATCGGGATTTGAGAATGGTTTTTTAAATTAGAATTTGAGGCGGCCACATGGCCATTCTGAATTCCTTATGCCCCTTGATCTGTAGGCAAAAAGCACTGTTATCTTGTTAGCCAGGATGATTGGTCCTGATTATTAAGGTGCAGTAGGAATTTTTGTTGCACAAAGGGGACAGCAGAGTATGTCTGGAATCCAGGGATGTCGGGGTTACACCCTAGTTTTCACAGACTCCATGGCAGACGTCCTTGGAAGACTGTGGCAGTCTTGTAGGGATCCCATTCAGGCTCAGGTTCCTCTGTAAGAAGGTGAGGCTTACTCCAGGTAAAAAGAACAGGGACTTTGTCTCTTTTGTCCTTGTGTCTCTTAGATGTACAGTGGTATCTCTACTTCCTAGAATCTAACACATAGTAGTGTTTGGTGAATATCTAATGCATGTATGGCTGGGTGGGTGGATGAGTGGATGGCAGGTACAAATGATAGGTATACAGCATGTTAATAATAAAAATTTCAAACCTGCAAAACAGTATATGTTGTGTTTTTGATTATATAAATACAAAGCAAAAGGATTAAAGCATACTCAATTCATAATAGTAGTTGCCTTGGAAGGGGATGGGGAGAAGGATATGCAGTTTGCCTTACTTGTATCTGTGGTTTTATTATTTAACAAAAATCAAGAAATGTCAACCAGGTCTGAAGTAAATACGATGCAAAGCTCAGATCTGACAAAGCTTGACATTGGGTAGTCTGCCTGGGCCCGTTTGCTTCTCAGCATCCATCTAGTGGCCATTCCCTGCTCCGTTCTCGGGGGGAGCCTCTGCCATGGCTGCAGCTGGGGCTGGTCCTTACAGCGTGTCAGCTGACTTGTGGCTGGGTTTAGCCAATTCGAGATGTGGTGGGAGTTAAAGGAATAGAGAAACCAGGATGTTTCTCCCCCCAGCCCCTTTGCTTCCTCTGTTTTCTCCTCCGTGGCACCAGGCTGTGCAGGGCTGAGCTGCTGTGGTTCCAGCTGGTTCTGTACCCTCTCCCCGAGGCTCTGATAACACCGTCTCTGCCCGGTGCCGTGGCTAATTTCTGCGTTACTTCACCCCCCCGCAGTTGGCTTTCCAGCTGCGTCATTCTCTGTAATACCAGTTCTCTGCATTCAATTTATTGTGAATAAATTGAATAAATAAATAATTCACAATTCCCTTTATTGTGAATATATTGTTGTGAATGAATTGGAACATATTAGAAATAGTTCCTGTGTTCCTGGAGAGACCTTGAGTGGTACAGGTACAGTGGTGATTGATACTTTATTTAGCATATAAAAATATTATGTTGTAAATATTTTCTTACACAAAAGACAGTCCAGATTCTAGCTTCAATATCAGCTATTGTTGGAGCTCAGTTAGTACCTAACTAATAATGAACCAGAGTTATGATTCATTAGACTTAGTATAAAGAGACATAGTAAGAATTAGTAGATGATAATGGAGCCCTGGTGGTGCAGGGGTTAGGAGCTTGGCTGCTAACTGAAAGGTCAGCAGTTCAACTCCACCAGCGGCTCCTTGGAAACCCTGTGGGTCAGCTCTACACTGTCCTGTAGAGTCACTATGCGTCGGAATCAACTTGACAGCAGCAGGTTTTGGGGTTTTTGTTTTTTTTTTGTATAGTTATATTAATTTCTCAGGTGTTAAGTCTGGATTATATGACTGGATTATATGAATATATGAATCAACTGTTTATTTTCCTAAACATGTTGTCTCTTTCCTTCCCTCCCCACCCCCATAGGAATTCAGAGCCTCTGAACTGCTTCGAAGTGGGCTGGACAGATCTAAATACCTTCTGGTGAAGGAGGCCAAAGTAATTGCCATGACCTGTACTCACGCTGCCTTAAAACGACACGACTTGGTCAAGTTAGGTTTCAAGGTGAAGTCTGTTTTAGTTCCTTCGCTTATCAGCTGTTCCGCTGTTGGTTTTCCGTTTCTTTTATTTTAACTACCAAGGCCATTTCCATTGGCGATTGACTCACATCTTCTTGAAGTCTACATTTATAACTATGTAAAAATGTCTCTTTTAAAAGCAAATTGTAATATCACAGATTTATATGTTTAGGGAATTCTGAATCTGATTTGCCTAAATCTGTTTACTGGTGGTGTTCGTTAAATAACGTTGTAACCATATGATTGTCTAGCCAAATTGTGGTATTTGTTAAGGTGGATTAGTTTGTTGTCACTGAGTATCACTTAACCTGTTAAAAAGCTCTTCAAACAGAACTATAAGCTATAAAAAGAACATTTGACTATAGTTTTCGCATGTTAGACATCTCTGTGCTTGTATTCACATGTTGAGCACACATCCAGTGCCAGGTTGTTTGATCACTGAGTAAATGAAAAGCCTTCCATATGAGGATATGGAATACTCATATAGAGAATTTAAAATGACCTCGTCGCGTGACTAAGACAGGAGGAAGGTTAAAAGGTGAGATACCCTGTTAGCCTGTGACTCAGTTGATGTGGAACGTAATGAATGATGGAGCAGTGAGTTGGAATTTTCAAACTTTCCGATTTAGCTAGCGATTCTGGCTTAAACTCAGGTGTTAACGTTAACTTCCCGCAGCCGAGTTAGCTGTTGTTTAAAATTAAGGTTTGTGTGCTGGTTTAACTTCAAGGTGAACAAAACATTTGTTGTTGATGAAAGTAACTGACAGTTTTAAGATGTTATGAGCTCACTGGAAGATAGGTGCTAAATAAATTCAAGGAGATAGAACTGTTGTTATCTTGCAGGGAAGGTTCCTCAGCCACAAGGTAGGACAGATATGGTAATTTATTAAGAGGTAGTGTGAACTTACCCGGTGCTGTGAACTTACCCTGTTGGAGATTATTAGTGAGAATTTTCACCTAAATATTTTGTTCTTATAAAATATACCTTCAAGTTTGATATTAAATCATATCAGTTTAATAACAAAGGGAAATGATACAATCATAATTAGCATTTTATGCTTTCATTGCAGCCTTTCAAATGCATTCTGAAGACATTAGTCATAACTTACCAAATTTACATTAGTCATTTTCTATACTTACATCACGCAGCACATCTAAAGGTAGTCAGCATGAGTGCTGATTGTATCCCTTAGGATTTTATATTTTTATTTTTAACTTTTATTTTTATAAAACTTACACATGCGTCTAGTTTAAGAGTTTAACATTTTTCTGAAACTATGGAATCTAGCTAGGCTACCAAATCCTAGACAAATATAGTTACATTTTGGAAGAATGAGCAACACAGAAATTATAGAACATATAAAAAATTAGTTCAAAAGAGAAGTACAATCAAGCATTAAGGGTAAATATGCTCCCCCTACTTCTGCCTCCCCAGAAAAGAAATGAACTGTGCTTGGCATTACCGGGAACCGGGCTAGACACTAGATTAGTGGGAGGATACAGACGTTAAACAAGGCGATGTGCGGACTGTGATGTGCTGTGAGACAAGGGAATGGAATACTGTGAGATCAGCGTTGACCGGGAGGTTAGAGAATGCCTCGTAAAGGGAGCTCTAAGCTGGTACTTAGAGGATATGAAAGACCTAACCAGACAGAAAATGAGGAGAGATTAGTGTGTGCAAAGGACCTGAGGCAGGAAAGGCTTTGCCATTCCTGCGAAACTGAAACAGGTCAGTGTGGCTGAAGCTTAGCAAGTGAGAAAAGATGACAGACGAGGTGGGAGAGATGTGGGGGCCAGCTTTCTTCAGAGCCCTGCAGGCCACGTTAAGGGGTTTTCCTAAGACTGTGGGAAGCCAGTGAAGGGTGTAAAACCTGGAGGTGATATAGCCCTAGGACTGTTGTGTTGGTGGTTGAGAAGAGGCGAGACAGGAAGGGGAGGGACTAGTAAGTAGTTTGATGGCAGTACTCACAGTGGGGGCCAGGACTAGCGTGGGAGTGGTGGGAGAAACAAGGGGCATGAATGGGCTCGGGAGGTCGTTTTGAAGGCAGAATTGACATGCGTGGGTGATGGATTGGGTGCCCAGGGGTGAGAGAGAAGTAGATTGTGGAGTGCTAGTAGGATTCATGAGGGGAAAAAAATTACCCCAGAACACCACCTAGCCTAAGAGTGCCAACGGCGCTGGCCTCCTGTACAGTTATAAATGGACTCTCGTTACGTAGAACTGAATGAGCTGAGTTGAGAAGTGTCAATGTTGTAATCTAAGAAATGATACGCGAGAGCCCCTCAGAGCAGAGTTGCGCACTTGGGGTGCTTCCCTCAGGTTAAAGACTTGAACTAGTGAAGTAGGAGCGTAAGGACAAATAAAACGATGCGGTCTTCTGCTCGAGGAATTTGTACGTTATTTTTATCTGAAATTATTTGGGTCTTTTTGAATGGTTATTATGGTCATCGTGGTTTGGCTTTTTAGCTGTCTTTTTGACAGGTTTTCCCCTTTCTTCCTTTCTCAGTATGACAACATTTTAATGGAAGAGGCTGCTCAGATTCTGGAGATAGAGACTTTTATACCTCTTCTTTTACAGGTAAGAAATTAAGATCTGAGGCAGATAGAAAATAGGCTTTTCAGAATTCTGGGGGCACCATCAGAAAGCTCCACGGTTTTGGGGTGCCAGTTGCCACAGTTACGCATTATCCTTAATGTTAGTATATTTAGTGTTCTGTTTTAAGCCTGTAAACTTCCTTTAATGTATTCACTGGTTATTTAGTAGTTTGTATTGTCTCTGGGAGTACTATTGAAAAATTTATAGTTTATCTCTATAAAGTGGTTTTGAAAAGACTTGGTAATTATAATCAAGAAAATTAGATTGTTAAGCAGTTTGGAAGGTAGCTTTTTTTTTGCTTATTTTGTTAAAGTTGTTTCTAGAATTTTCTGATGTACCCTGAGTACACTGCTTTTCTTTATTTGAGGCCTAAATTTTTGAGGCCTAAATGATAATGTTTAAGAATGCTTCTTACTGTACAGTAGTCTTTACTATTGAAGCATTAACAACAAAATGGGGAATTCCAAATTTAAGGATAGAGACTGCTCCAATTTACAAACAGATTAGGTTCTGAAAGTTGTTTTATAAGCCAAATTATTTGGAACTTACAATACATTTTATCAGGATATGTTTCAAGGAACAAGGAGACATATAGAGTAGGAAATTGAAGTAGTTGTGTAGGAAATTAAAGAAAATAGTTTTTACTGCTTTGGGGGATTCAGAACTGGCCCTGAGCATAATTTTGATACAAGGTGTTTGCTTTGACATCTCTCCATTTCCCTTCTTGATCATGTGTCTCTCCTTCTGCCCCCTGTGCCTGATGCTGAACCTGAGCCCCCAGACCTGTTAAAGTAGGATGGTTCCATGCTTGCTTTCTCAGATCCTCCATCATCCCTTGCCCACCATCAGCCAGGAGCAGTGGTGCCAAACTTGATTCACAAGTCATTCTGTACTTTTACCAGATTCCTCTTTGTGGAGCTGGTGAACGTAGAGGATCTATAAGCCAATGATGCAGTTTAGAGAGAATAAAACTCTTATGTCACAAGTTGGAAACTTCAAATTAGACTGTTTTGCCATTTCCTCACTTTTCTAGAACCCTCAGGACGGGTTTAGCCGGCTGAAACGATGGATTATGATTGGTGATCATCACCAGTTACCTCCAGTCATTAAGAACATGGCCTTTCAGAAGTATTCCAACATGGAGCAGTCCCTCTTCACGCGCTTCGTCCGCGTTGGCGTTCCGACTGTGGACCTGGATGCCCAGGGGAGAGCCAGAGCAAGGTAAAGGAGACAAAGTGAATCACTGCTGTTTAGGCCCTCAGGTCAGTGGCCCTAGAGTTTGTGAACATCTGTTATATAGGCTGCTAGCATGCCCTGCTCTCCAGGAGCTTAATTGACAAATGAGAGGTACATTGACGGAAATAACTTCCTTCCTTCATTGTGTTCATGAAGATTTTTTTAAGTGACTAATAATCTCAGGGCTTCTCTTCACTGTGTATTCATTTCCCTTTCTTAAGGTTCCCACCTTATGTATAGTAAAAGGGATTTTATGTATACTAAAAGGAATTTTACATTGCTAATCCCCTTTTTGGGGGTTTGTTTTTGGAAAGCTTGTGCAACCTCTACAACTGGAGATACAAGAATCTAGGAAACTTGCCCCATGTGCAGCTCTTGCCGGAGTTCAGTACAGCAAATGCTGGATTGCTGTATGACTTCCAGCTCATTAATGTGGAAGACTTTCAAGGAGTCGGAGAATCTGAACCTAATCCTTACTTTTATCAGGTAAGAAAAAACATGAAGCTTTTAAGTTTATTTCGCATTTGCCTGGCTGAATTACTACCTAAATCAGTGATAAGCGAACGATTTGGCTAGCCATTGAAAACAAGGAAAATTAGGTCCCCACCTCAAACAGAACACAAAAAAATAAATTTCAGGTGGATTAGAGGTATATACATTAAAGAAAAGAAACTGTAAACATACTTGAAAGTACTAGAAGAAAATAATGATGAGTATATGATGTTGGGGTGAGGAGGCTCTTCCTAACCATGTTACCAGAGGCAGAAATCCTAAAAATATTGATTGATTTGAGAGCAAAATTTATTATCAACATTTAACATTTAATATGTATATCTTATAAATCACTTTTTAAAAAATCGACACCCCAACAGAAAAATGTGATAAGGATAAGAATACACAATTCATAAACAAAGATACAGATTTCTACCGAGTATCACTCAATGGACGGTTTTTCACCTGTTTGACAGTATTTACTGTTGTAGTATATTTGGGGAAGTTCTACACTTCTGCATTGCTAGTGGGAAAGTAACTTGGTGGGCAAATTTGTCAATATGTATAAAAATTAAGGTTCCCATTTCTAGGAGTTTATCCTAAAGAAATAACTGGCCTGGTGTTGCCAAGGTTTATATGTAAAAATATTCATCACATGGTTTTCTTTATTGCAGATTATTTTGGAAATGAGAAACAACCTAAATGCCTGTTAGTAGGGATTGATTACATTATTCCTTTTTCCATATAATGAAACGCTGAATAGCAACTAAGAATGGTAATAATATAATTTTATTTACTGATACAAAAAATATTTGTTACATTAAATGAAAGAAATCAGGTCGCAAAGCAGTATCTATAGTGTTCCATTTATTCTTAAAAAGGAACATGAAAACATGCATATGGAAATATACACAAATTATCTAAAATATATACAAATAATCTATATAAAATAATCTGGCAGGATATACATCAAAAGATGATAGTCTTAAGATGATAACATTTAGGGTGATTCTCAGTTTTCTTTTTTGTCTTTACAGCAAAATACCCAATGTATGTTATTATGTAAATTAAAGATCTTGAGTTATATATGAGAAAACATCATATATCACTGGCTAAAATGTGTACGTACAGATAGAGCTCCCACCACTTGTCTGTCAGTTTGTTGTACTTTGGTGGCTTGTGTGTTGCTGTGATGCTGGAAGCTGTGCCACCGGTGTTTCAAATACCAGCAGGGTTACCCACGGTGAATAGGTTTCAGCAGAGCTTCCAGACTGTCAGACTGGCAAGAAGGACCTGGCGATCTACTTGGGAAAAAACCGGCCAGTGAAAACGTTATAGATAACAGCAGGTTGTTGTCTGATGTAGTGCTGGAAGATGAGACCCTCCCGTTGGAAGGCACTCAAAATACGACCGGAGAAGAGCTGCTTCTTCAAAGGAGAGTTAATTTTAATGACATGGAAGGAGTAAAGCTTTTGGGACCTTCATTTGTTGATGTGGCATGACTCAGAATGAGAAGAAACAGCTGCAAATGTCCATTAATAATCGGAATGTGGGATATATGAAGTATGAATCAAGGAAAATTGGAAGTTGTCAAAAATGAAGTGGAACACTTGAAGATCAGTGTTCTGGGCACTAGTGAGCAGAAACAGACCGTTATTGGCCATTTTGAATCAGATAATCATATGATCTACTATGCTGGGAATGACAAAGAGGAATGACATCACATTCATCATCAAAAAGAACATTTCCAGATCTTTCCTGAAGTACAACACTGTCAGTGATAGGATAATATCCATACGCCTATAACAATGACCAGTTAATGCCACTATTATTCAGATTAACTCACCAGCCACTAACGCCAAAGATGAAGAAATTAGAGATTTTTACCAACTTCTACAGTCTGAAATTGCTCCAACATGCCATCAAGATGCATTGATAATTACTGGTGATTGAAATATGAAAGTTGGAAACAAAGAAGGATCAGTAGTTGAGAAATGTGACTGGTGGTAGAAACGATGCAGGAGATTGCATGATAAAATTTTGTGAGACCGATGACTTATTCATTGGAAATACCTTTTATCAACAGCATAAACAGCGACTATACACTTGGAGAAGGAACCCTGGTGGCACAGTAGTTAAAGCACTCGGCTGCTAACAAAAAGGTCAGCAGTTCGAACCCACCAGCTGCTCCTCGGGAGAAAGATGTGGCAGTCTGCTTCTGTAATGATTTACAGCCTTGGAAACCCTATGTGATGGGACAGTTCTACTCTATACTGTAGGGTTGCTATGAGTCAAAATCAACTCTGTGGCAATGGGTTTATTATACACGTAGATCTCACTGGATGAAATACACAGGAATCAAATCGACTACATCTGTGGAAAGAGATGAGGGAGAAGCTCAGTATCATCAGTTAGAACAAGGCCAGGGGCCGGCTGCGAAACAGACCATCAGTTGCTCATATGGGAGTTCAGGTTGAAGCTGAAAAAAATTAAAAACAAGTCCATAAGTGCCAAACTGCCACCTTGAGTGTATCCCACCTTAATTTAAGAGACCATCTCAAGAACAGATTTGACACAGTGAACACTAATGACCAAAGACCAGATGAGTTATGGGATGACATCAAGGACATCATACTTGAAGAAAGCAAAAGGTCATTAAAAAGACAGAAAAAAAAGACCAAAATGGATGTCAGAAGAGACTCTGAGACTTGCTCTTGAACGTCGAGTAGCTAAAGTGAAAGGAAGAAATGATGAAGTAAAAGAGCTGAACAGAAGATTTCAAAGAGCGGCTCGAGAAGACAAGGTAAAGTATTATAATGAAATGTGCAAAAACCTGGAGTTAGAAAACCAAAGGGGAAGAATATGCTTGGCATTTCTCAAGCTGAAAGAACTGAAGAAAAAATTCAAGCCTCGAGTCGAAATGTTGAAGGATTCTATAGGCAAAAAATTGAATGAGGCAGGAAGCATCAAAAGAAGATGGAAGGAATATACAGAGTCACTATACCGAAAAGAATTGATCAATGTTCAGCCATTTCAAGAGGCAGCATGTGATCAAGAACCGATGGTACTGAAGGAAAAAGTTCAAGCTGCACCAAAGGCGTTGGTGAAAAACAAGGCTCCAGGAATTGACAAAATACCAATTGAGATGTTTCAACAAATGAGCGCAATGGTGAAAGCACTCACTCGTCCATGTCAGGAAATTTAGAAGACAGCTACCTGGCCAACTGACCATAAGCGATCCATATACGTGCCTATTCCAAAGAAAAGGAGTCCAACGGAATGTGGATCCAATGGAAATTATCGAACAATATCACATGCAGGTAAAATTATGCTGAAGATAATTAAAAGATGCTTGTAGTAGTACACTGACAGAGAACTGCCAAAAATGCCACTGGATTCAGAAGAGGATGTGGAACAAGGGATATTATTGCTAATGTCAGATGGATCTTGGCTGAAAGTAGAGAATACCAGGCGGATGTTTACCTGTGTTTTATTGACTATGCAAAGGCATTTGACTGCGTGGATCATAACAAATTGTGGATAGCATTGTAGAGAGTGGGAGTTCCAGAACACTTAATTGTGTTCATGAGAAACCCGTACAGAGACCAAGAGGCAGTTGTTCGAACAGAGCAAGAGAATACTGCATGGTTTAAAATCAGGACAGGTGTGAGTCAGAGTTGTATCCTTTCACCATACTTATTCAGTCTGTGTGCTGAGCAAATAATCCGAGAAGCTGGACTATATGAAGAAGAACGTGGCATCAGGATTGGAGGAAGACACATTAACAACCTGTCATAAGCAGATGACACAACCTTGCTTGCGGAAAGTGAAGAGGACTTGAAGCACTTACTGATGAAGATGAAAGACCCCAGCCTTCAGTATGGATTACACCTATACATGAAGAAAACAAAAATCCTCACAACTGGACCAGTAGGCAACATCATGATAAATGGAGAAACGACTGAAGTTGTTAAGGATTTCATTTTACTTGGATCCACAATCAGTGCCCATGGAAGCAACAGTCAAGAAATCAAAGGACGTATTGCATTGGGCAAATCTGCTGCAAAAGACCTCTTTGAAGTGTTAAAAAGCAAAGATGTCACTCCGAGGACTAAGATGCTCCTGACCCAAGCTGAGGTATTTTCAGTCGCCACATGTACATGTGAAAGCTGGACAATGGGTATGGAAGATGGAAGAAGAATTGATGCCTTTGAATTCTGGTGTTGGTGAAGAATATTGAATATACCATGGACTGCCACAAGGAGGAACAAATCTGTCTTGGAAGAAGTACAGCCAGACTGCTCCTTAGAAGCGAGTATGGCGACACTTTGTCTCACGTACTTTGGACATGTTATCAGGTGGGACCAGTCCCTGGAGAAGGACATCATGCTTGGTAAAGCAGAGGGTCAGTAAAAGAGGAAGACCCTCAATGAGATGAGTTGACACAGTGGCTGCAATAATGGGCTCAAACATAGCAGTGATTGTGAGCATGGCGCAGACCGGGCAGTGTTTCGTTCTGTTGTACTTAGGGTCGCAATGAGTCAGAACTGGCTTGACGGCACCTAACAACAGCAGATATAGCTCATGATGATCTTATTTTTCCTCCGAATGTTTTGTTTTTTAAAATCAAATTACTCTTCATTTGTATAGTTAAAGCCTGAGAATAGATGTGACTTTTAAGTGACAACTTTGAAAATACCAAAACTTGACTCAAATGAGTGATATCTTTCTATAGCCACCTTGGAAGGCTACTAAATATCTGTCGGTATTTCTCTTATGTTTTCATTACATATTGTTTTTAGAATTTCTTTTTCAGTTACTTGCATTACCTGTGCTATACCATAGTATTGATCTGAAACATTATTGTGTAGATTATGTGTTTCCTTATTCATTAAGCCCAACTCTTGAAAAATAAATACATTTTAAAATGATTTGCTACTATTAAAGAAATTTCTGAAGAGTTGAAGACATTTTACCCCAAATAAAAGCACTCCACATATAAGTGATAACATTGGAGGAATTAGTGTCTGAAGGGAAGAGGATGAATAGACAGATGAATGAATAAAAGTGAATAATTTGCAGGGACTGGAATTTTTGGAGAGAGTTCTAAAATGTTTGTTAAAATATATTTCATGTTGTTTTATTGTTAATACCTCATGTCTGACTTTTGAGCAAAGTCCCAAATTGGCTAACATTCAATTTTCATGTGAATAAAGAAAAGGTTCCTATTTGTTGAGGACTCATTGTGTCAGTCTTGCCAAAAATACACGTCTTGAAAGCTGAATTTCAACCCTAGCTTTTATTATGGCCATTTTCACATTTCCCAGTTTGTTCTTTTATCTGTATTAGAGCTGTTGCTTAGATAAATGTAGTTCACTGCTGATACATAAAATGGGAAAGATTTGTATAGTCAGGTGGATCCTTTTACCTCCTGTCTTTCAAGTCACTCTGTTGTTACTTGGTGCTGCTGAGTTGTTTTCAACTCATAGCAACCCCATGTGACAGAGTAGAACTGCTCTGTAGGGTTTTCTTGGCTGTAATCTTTACGGAAGCAGATCGCCAGGTCTTTCTGCTTCTGAGTGGGTTTGAACTGCCAACCTTTTGGTTAGCAGCTGAGTGCATTACCATTCGTGCCACCAGGGCTCCAAAGAACTAGAAAATTTAAGTGACAGAGATAATTAGGCTGTGTGAGTCCGTAATCAAGAACCAGGATAGAAATGATTTTTCTGAAGATCTTACTGTAATTTTCCTATTGCCTTTACATGAAATTCATCTTCCTGCCTTTGTTTTTTTATTTTCATGTTCTGTTTATGTTCTCATTTGAATTTCTTCTTTCATCTAGTACTTTGAATGTATTTTCTCCTGAACTGAACAGCCTTATGTATGATTCCTCTCTTACAAGTTCAGTTAAGCCGTTGGTTTTAAGCTCCTTCCCACTAGTCTTTAACCAGAGCCTCTAATGTAACAGTAAGCCAGACTGGCCACTTAGAGGCCACATCTTCTTTCCACCTGAAGTGGTCTGGTAGATATGGCAACCATCAGTAAGAGAACATAAACGAAAAACAGAACAAAAAAGCACTAAGAAGCATAAGGGAAAAGGAAGAGCACTGTGCCCTGTAGCAGATTTTTATTAATCTTTGTTGTGATTGCTGTGGTCCCAGGAATATCCCGCCTTTAAGTCACTGTTTTATTTCATGATTGTTCCATGTATTGCAAATACATTGTAAATGTCAAAGGAAAGTTATTAGCACGTACTGTATTTTATTGTTGTTAAACTAGGATGAAGTCATCCCTCGGTTTTATAAAAGGTTATTTTATTGCTCAGGTTGCTAACTCTTCGCTTCCTGTGGTGTGGTAAGTGAACAAATTGCTTGATTAACCATTATCTCCATAAAATTGAGAACCAAAGGAGACATGTGCAAATCCTGATTATGTTTGCATTACAGAATCTGGGAGAGGCGGAATATGTAGTAGCACTTTTTATGTACATGTGTCTGCTTGGTTACCCTGCTGACAAGATCAGTATTCTGACAACATACAACGGGCAAAAACACCTCATTCGTGATATCATCAATAGACGATGTGGGAGCAATCCATTGATTGGAAGACCAAATAAGGTATGAGTACAGTGTTTTCTCTTATTTGTATGCTGGTAAAATGGAAAGGCACGTATTTGTTATGAGTGATTTATATTATAGACGATGTGGGAGCAATCCATTGATTGGAAGACCAAATAAGGTATGAGTACAGTGTTTTCTCTTATTTGTTATGCTGGTAAAATGGAAAGGCATGTATTTGTTATGAGTGATTTATATTGTTCCATTTTGTCTCTATGGCATCTCCCTTTTAAGATACAGGTGGAAATGAAATAATAGGGACTATAAATAATTCTCTGGCAATCCTATCTGATTAGTTTTACTGATTTTCTGTGAACTTCTATATCAGCTAACACACTGGAGTAGTTTTGTTGATTGTAATTAGAAATAAATGTTTCTAAAATTTTTTGTTAGTAAAATGCTGGATAATGAAATCACATAATTTATATACTGTTATAGAACTGTGAGCTGAAGCATTTTTTATTTTGTTTTGTAAAAGTACAATTTGTATTGCTTTTTACTGTATGTGGAGATGTGTTTTGCCTTGGGTAAACAGAAGGTTGTAAAGTGCATCCAGACCTTAGGATTATTTTTTATACTTTTTTATTTTTATACAATATGATGGAGTGATATCAATAAAAAGGTGCTTGATTTTATTAATGAAAGGTTGAATATATTAGATAAAATAACAAGCTTAAATGCAATATTATTATTTTTCTTTTGTGCTTTAAGTAAGAGTTTATAGTTCAAGTCAGTTTTCCATACAGAAATTTATGCATACATTGCTATGTGACCCTAGCTGCTCTCCCTATAATATGACAGCACACTCCTCCTTTCCACCCCGGATTTCCCGTGTCCACTTAACCAGCTCCTGTCCCTTTTTGGCTTCTCCCCTCCAGAGAGGAGCTGCTAAGAAACACCCTCTTCACGAGTATCATTTTATGTCCCATAGTCCAGTCTAATCTTTGTCTGAAGAGTTGGCTTTGGGAATGGTTTCGGTTCTAGGCTAACAGAGAGTCCTGGGGCCATGTCTTCTGGGGTCCCTGCAGTCTCAGTCAGACCATTAAGTATGGTCTTTTTACTAGAATTTGAGTTCTGCACCCCACTTTTCTCCTGCTCTGTCAGGGACTCCCTGTTGTGTTCCCTGTCAAGGAAGTCATTGGTGGTAGCTGGGCACCATCTAGTTCTTCTGGTCTCAGGCTAATGGAGTCTCTGGTTTCTGTGGCCTTTTCTATTTCTTGGGCTAATACTTTCCTTGTGTCTTTGGTGTTCTTCATTCTCCTTTGCTCCAGGTGAGTTGGGACCAATTGATGTATCTTAAATGGCCACTCGCTAACTTTTAAGACCCCAGGTGCCACTCACCAAAGTGGAATGCAGAACATTTTCTTAATAAACTTTGTTATGTCAGTTGACCTAGATGTCCCCTGAAAGCATGGTCCCCAGACCCCCCGCCCCTGCTACTCTGTCCCTCGAAGTGTTTGGTTGTATTCAGGAAACTTCTTGGCTTTGGTTTAGTCCAGTTGTGCTGACTTCCCCTGTAGTGTGTGTTGTCCTTTCCTTCACCTAAGATAATTCTTATCTACTATCTAGTTAGTGAATACCCCTCCCCCTCCCTCTCCACCCTTGTAACCATCAAAGAATGTTTTCTTCTGTGTTTAAGCCATTTCTTGATTTCTTATAATAGTGGTCTCATACAGTATTTGTCCGTTTGCAACTGACTAAATTCGCTCAGCATAATGCCTTCCAGATTCATCCATGTTATGAGATGTTTCACAGATTCATTGTTATTCTTTATCATTTGGTAGTATTCCATCGTGTGAATATACCATAATTTGTTTATCCATTTGTCCATTGATGGGCTTCTAGGTTCTTTCCGTCTTTTTGCTATTGTGAACAGTGCTGCAGTGAACATGGGTGTGCATATATCTATTCGTGTGACAGCTCTTATTTCTCTAGGATATATTCCAAGGAGGGGGATTGCTGGGTCATATGGTACTCCTATTTCTAGCTTTTTAAGGAAGCGCCAAATCGATTTTCAAAGTGGTTGTACCATTTTACATTCCCATCAGCAGTATATAAGTGTTCCAGTCTCTCTACACCCTCTCCAGCATTTATTATTTTGTGTTTTTTGGATTAATACTAGCCTTGTTGGGGTGAGATGGTGTCTCCTTGTAGTTTTGATTTGCATTTCTCTAATGGCTAATGATTGTGAGCATTTCCTCAAGTATCTGTTAGCTGCCTGAATGTTTTCTTTGGTGAAGTGCCTGTTCATATCCTTTGCCCATTTTTTAGCTGGATTATCTGTCTTTCTATTGTTGAAGTTTTGAGGTATCTTGTAGATTCTAGAGATTAGATGCTGATTGGATTTGTCATAGCCAAAAATTTTTTCCCAGTCTGTAGGTTGTGTTTTTACTCTTTTGGTGAAGTCTTTTGATGAGCCTAAGTGTTTGATTTTTAGGAGCTCCCAGTTATCTAGTGTCTCTTCTGGTGTTTGTGCATTGTTACTTTATATTCTGTTTATGCCCTGTATTAGGGCTTCTAGTGTTGTCCCTATTTTTTCTTCCATTTATCATTTTATATTTAGGTCTTTGATCCATTTTGAGTTAGTTTTTGTGCATGGTGTGAGGTATGGGTCTTGTTTCATGTTTTTGCAGATGGATATCCAGTTATGCCAGCACAATTTGTTAAAGAGACTGTCTTTTCCCCAATTAATAGACTTTGGGCCTTTGTCAAATGTCAGCTGCTCATAGGTGGATGAATTTACGTGTGGATTCTCAATTCTGTTCCACTGGTCTGTGTATCTGTTGTTGTACCAGTACCAGGCTTTTTGACTACCATGGAGGTATAATACGTTCTAATATCAGGTAGTGTGGGGCCTCCCACTTTGTTCTTCTTCAGTAATGCTTTACTTATCGAAGGCGTCTTCCCTTTCCATATGGAGTTGGTGATTTGTTTCTCCTTCTCATTAAAAAATCCATTGGAATTTGGATCGAGACTGCATTGTATCTGTAGATAGCTTTGGGTAGAATAAACATTTTCACAATGTGGAGTCTTCCTATCCATGAACAAGGTATGTTTTTTCACTTACGTAGGTTTCTTTTAGTTTCTTGCAGTAGTGTCTTGTAGTTTTCTTTGTATAGGTCTTTCTCGTCTCTGGTTAGATTTATTCCTAAGTATTTTATCTTCTTGGGGGCTATTGTAAATGGTATTGATTTGGTGATTTCCTCTTCGAAGTTTTCTTTGTTGGTATAGAGGAATTTTTGTATGTTTATCTTGTATCCTGATACTTTGCTGAAATCTTCTATTAGTTCCAGTAGTTTTCTTGTGGATTCTTTGGGGTTTTCTGTGTTTAAGATCTTATCATCTGCAAATAGGGATACTTTGACTTCTTCCTTACCAATTTGGATGCCCTTTATTTCTTTTTCTAGCCTAATTGCTCTGGCTAGGACCTCCAGCACAATGTTGAATAAGAGTGGTGATGAAGGGCATCCTTGTCTGGTTCCCGTTCTCAGCGGGAATGCTTTCAGCCTCTTTCCATTTAGAATGATGTTGGCCGTTATCTTTGTGTAAATGCCCTTTATTATGTTGAGGAATTTCCCTTCTATTCCTACTTTGCTGAGAATTTTTATCATGAATGGTTGTTGGACTTTGTGAAATGCCTTTTCTGCATTGATTGAGAAGATCATGTGGTTCTTGTCTTTTATTAATGTGATGGATTACCTTGATTGTTTTTCTGATATTGAACCATCCTTGCGTACGTGGTATAAATCCCACTTGATCATGGTGAGTTATTTTTTGATATGTTGTTGAATTTTATTGGCTAGAATTTTGTTGAGGATTTTTGCGTCTATGTTCATGAGAGATATTGGTCTGTAATTTTCTTTTTTTGTGATGTCTTTACCTGGTTTTGGTATCAGGGTTACGCTGGCTTCATAGAATGAGTTTGAGAATATTCCATCCTTTTCTATGCTCTGAAATACCTTTAGTAGTAGTGGTGTTAACTGTTCTCTGAAAGTTTTGTAGAATTCCCCAGGTAAACCATCAGGACCAGGGCTTTTTTTTTGTTGTTGGGAGTTTCTTACTTACCATTTCAGTCTCCTCTTCTGTTTCGGGTTTATTTAGTTGTTCTACCTCTGTTTGTGTTAGTTATTTAGGTGGTGTGTTTCTAGAAATTTTTCCATTTCCTCTAGGTTTTCAAATTTGTTAGAGTATAGTTCTTCATAGTATTCTGTTAAGATTCTTTTAATTTCATTTTGGTCTGTTGTGATATCGCCCATCTCATTTTTTATTTAGGTTATTTGCTTCCTCTCCTGTGTTCTTTTGTTAGTTTGGCCAATGGTTTATCGAGTTTATCTTTTCAAAGAACTAGCTTTTGGTTTTGTTAACTCTTTCAATTGTTTTTCTATTCTCTATTTCATTTAATTCTCCTCTAATTTTTATTATTTGCTTTCTTCTGGTGCCCAAGAGCTTCTTTTGCTGCTCTATTTCAATTTGTTCGAGTTTTAGGGTTAATGTTTTGATTTTGGCCCATGCTTCTTTTTAGATGTGTGCATTTATTGCTATAAATTGACCTCTGAGCACTGCTTTTGCTGTATCCCAAAGGTTTTGGTAGGATATGTTTTCATTCTCGTTTGATTCTGTGAATTTTTTATTCCATCCTTAATTTCTTCTATATCGCAGTAGTTTTTGAGCAAGGTGGTGTTCAGTTTCCATGTGTTTGATTTTTTTTTCCTTGCTTTTTCTGTTACTGATTTCCACTTTTATGGCTTTATGTTCAGAAAAGTTTTGTAATATTTTGTTGCTTTGGATTCTGTTAAAGCTTGCTTTTTGCCATAATATGTGGTCTCTTCTGGAGAATATTCCATGTGCATTGGAAAAGAAAAGTATACTTGGCCTCTGTTGGGTGGAGTGTTCGGTATATGTTATGAGATCAAGTTGGTTGATCATGGCATTTAGATCTTCCGTGTCTTTATTGAACTTTCTGGATGTTCTGTCCTTCACCAAAAGTGGTGTGTTGAAGT